AATTTTTTTTTAATTTGCATTTGTAAAGTGACCAGGATGTATTATTGCATGTTAGGAAAAGTTAAATTTAATGCTGTTGACTTCCTTGTAGATGTATTTTCTAATTTTCTATGGATTGGTTTACTGGTTAAAAACTTTTCTGCATTTTTTCTTTTTGTTAAGCAAAACAGATAATTTGGAAGTATATAAACTGAATTTTAATATTCAATAAACTTTTTGCTGATGATTAAAGAATTTTGGAAGTTATCTTAAGATAAGATTCATATTTTTCTTATTCATCATTTGTAGTTTCATGTAACTAGAGGTCAGTTTAATCACAGCTGAAGTGCAAATGGCACATCCACCTTGCTGTTGAGTGGTGTATCTGATTGGCTTATGCTGAGGTGGATGTCAAGAATCAAAAAATCTGGCATGGTGTGACTAGTGTAGTAACGTGACTTGTGAGATGCACTATGTCCGAGTCTTTTGTTCTGGACTTCAGCTGTAGTATAAGAGATAATAGACCATAAGGGAGAAATGGCTTCAATTACTGCTCTCCAAAAGTATAACATGCAAGTTAATTACCCACATGACTATATCAGACAACACTTTTCAGTGAAAGGAAACTTCTTTTGTTTTTCATGTATCAGAGTAGTTCATGTACTTTATTGTAACAACCATCAAGTTTATGATGTGCTGTTCTTTACATACTGCAAATGAGGTAATTTTGACTTTTTATCAATCAAAAAAATAAATAAATACATACTTTGTGGCTTATAAATCATTTCTGAAAATTATTTCTGTAAAACTTTTAATATCTTCATATAAATAAGGTCATAAATTGCCTTGATTATTATATTTTTGCCATCTTAGATATTCATTGATAAACATTAAATTGTAACAATGCACCAAAATCCTCAATGTACCAGTGAACATGGTGTTTGGATGTTTCTCAAAAATTCCTTGATGCAATCATGGTGAATGATGTTAACAAGGAAAGGAAGTTATGTTACAAATTAAAAAAAAACATTCTACTAAATGCTTTTTATATTTAAAAAAGGCCCCCTCAATTCATGCCCTACCGTATAGATTCTGCTAATGCAAAACATGTCATGCTCAGTCATCAATGGGAGTGCTTAGTAAAACTTAAATCATGATTTGAAATTCACAGTAGAATGAGACAATAAAGATTTTAATCCTGGAATATTAGAGATAGACAGAGGTCACACAGATTAGTCTGAATCCATCCAGACAGTCTCATTTTGAATAAGTTTCTGAAAACAATCATAATTATGTGAATGGGATGGTTGATGCAAATGTACATTAAAAGTCTTTCCATCAAAATGGTTCCATTCAGCCCTTGCCATTATTTTACCATGAGAAGTGATAGTTGTTATGTTTTTTCTCCATTTTCTGCTTGAATAACCATTTTACAGGTCTGGAAAGTTAAAGTCTTAAACTACCTTAGGATAAAAAGTTCTGAACTCAAACATTTTTTGTCTTTTTTTCTTTAATCTTGACAGATTGCAATCTTTTGCACAACAGTGCCAATTAACTTTTACTTGTCACTTCAGTACAACTATTTTTCTCAGACAAAATTACTGTTATATAAAGATTCTCCTAAATTACTTAAAAGTTAGCCCCACTTGTGGATTTTAGTATTGCATAATGTCACGGAAAACTGTCAGCTTTGTCTTTTGCTTAATTATAAATATAATAAATTTATGATTCCTAATAAATGGGGCTGGTGTCCAGTTGTGGACATCAAGGCTTATTTGGACACCGGTCAAGGGTCCATCGCTTACTTAAAAAACATTGTTTTTCCTCATGGCCATCAACTCAAAAGTCTCACGTCAGTCTTTCCACTGCGTGGGGTTACCAAATGATGTTTTACTGTGCCTGTAACGCAATTGTGCTCATATTATGGGATCACTTTCCGTGAACGAGCTTCATTATCCCATTGATGATGCTCAGGCCATATCTGTTCTTAGAAAATTAAGCAATATGTCAAAACATTGATGTGAGATAATGGGCACAGTAATTACTATACTTTGATGATTTCTTATTAGTGAGGTCAATTACTAGGAATTTTTTTAAGAAACTAAAGAATCTTTTAAGGCGATGATTTCTTTGAACTTCATTACCACTTACTGACAATTAGTCTGTAATTGTATTTCAGGTGAAGTGGCCTGCAAATATTACCCCCATTTCCACCAATACAAATTCATTATTTTTAGTTTTTATTTCACTTTTTGTTAGACTGGGTCCTCATACCTAGATCAAACTTACAGGAACGATCCATCTCCAAGGGTTTTTTTGCTAAATTGCTTTCAGCCTTAGCTGCTTTGATGTCTGACATGCCTATTGAAGCTGCTAAACAATAATTAATTAATTACCCCCCTAGCAGCTTCAGTAGGCATGACAAACATCTAAGTCGCTTAACTTGATAACAATTTAGTGAGAATTCCCTTGGAGATAGATCGATCCACAGTTAGTACGATAGGGTCTGGGAATGGTCCCTTTGTCTTGTAAGGCCCCTATTTCACACAGACCATGAATCCTACGAATCGCCAGGAATTGAAAATATCATCAAAGTTTTTGCCACCAATTCTTGTTAGTCAAGAAGTGCAAGAACTGACTACGAATATATACGAATCTGTTAAGAACTTCACAAACTGATTACGATTCAACCACGAATCGTAAAATTTGTCAATTCATGGCCATTCGTGGGATTCGTGGTCTGTGTGAAATAGGGGCATAAAAGAGCCATACAACCCAGAACTAGTTAAGGTACACTTATGTGTGGCTGGTGATCAGATATAAAAAAATATATTGTAGTTATCACTTTGATATTTTACCATTTTTCTTAGTAGATTAATCATTTGTGATAAAAAATAAGATAAATCACTTCCACATTTTCATGCATGTGGCAGGAAGAATCTGTGTGCATTCTGATCAATAGTCCAGAAATGAGACCATGCCTTATTGGATCATGCATCATCCCTTAATTTGTTTTTGTTTATCTCTTCTCAGTTTCGTGCTGATTAGTGTGAACACTATCATCTGACATGGTACACTGGATTATGTTAAGGTGATTTCTCAAGTTTCTGATGGAATAGATGCTTAACTATGCTGTCATAGATTTAGATTAAACCCTATGCCCCAACCCCACAGACCTCATCCAACTTAAAACACCAGCTTAGATAAGCAGTGAAATGTTATAAGGCATATTGCTGAAATTTTTTATCATTCCTTGTTGCTCCTAAACAATTTTTAATTTCTATTACCTTTTTTGTTTGGAAACATATCACCAATAAAATAAATATAACTGTTAATTATTCCGTGTTCATATTTCTGTAACTATTTCACCTGCATTCATTATACTAGAGTAACGGACAAATCTCACTCCGTCCATCTGTCCTGGTATTTATACCTTTATGCTTTCTGACCACAGGCAGGCCATTGCATCACATTGATTGACAGACTACATGTTTTTTCCTTAGATAAAGCAAGATTAAGCTTCTATCAACATAAAAATGTTTGGACATATTCTTATTATTCAGAAATTTTTTTAAGCCCAGAATGGTTTCCCTCCTTTCCTATGTACCTCACTTCCTCCCTCCCACTTTCCCTGTACATGTGCATGCACACATGCACGCACACACTTTTACTTTTTCACTGCCCTTTTCCATCTTCATTATCTTCATTCTGGTTCCAGAGATTTCTATGATGGTCATGGGTAATTATTGTTTTCCAATTAATTTTTGATTTCAACCAGACAATTTTAAAGAAAACAAAACTTATTCAAAGCCATTCTTGTATCACTCACTGTTATTAGTATATAGCCTGTTTAATTAGTTTGCATGCTTACTTGCCCGTAAAGAATGAAACAGGCTTAACAACATTTTTTCTGTAGAGAGTGATATGTGGGGAATAGGGCATTTGTAAGCAAACATGATAAAATTTACATATATCAATAAGAACATTCCTATATGTGTACTTTTTCTACATATAATTGTCATATATCTTTTTTATTTAAGTTTATGCCATATGAATGGGCAATAAATTTGTTTTGTTCTCTGATCATCTATTGCTATAAAAATGAAATAATTTGGCCTTTACCTCGGACATTATCTGTCATATTTTCAGCAAGTTACATCCTATGAATGTTATCCTTGAAGAAAAAGAGCACACAATATGTGGTCTTTGGACATTTACTTTTCTCATTAAATGGTTTCGGAGGCAGGAAATTATAATCTTTGATTGTCAGTTAGACAAAGTCTGAGAAGCTTATATTGTCTGCAGTTAATGGACATTGTTAGGGGACTTTTGCAGTTTAAAGCTGAGAGTTTTGATGTAATGCCACAATATCCCTTTCAAGTTAAATAGCCTTATAATACTTTATTGAATGACTACTTAATTTTTTTCACATTTTCAAAATTTGCATAAGGAGAGGATTTTTTGCTCTAATGTCAAAACTTTAGAATTATAAATGTTTATATTATTATATTTAAATCATTGTCAGGATTTAAAAAATGTAAAAAAATCTATTATTGCTTCATTTTCATACAATAAACTAATATTATGATAATGGTTAAATAAGAAGTCCACAAAAACTGATGCATAGTGATGCATTTGGAAGCAATATAGATTAATTATGTGGTATTAAACCTTGTAAAGGACTTAGGCTCAGAAGAATGTGAGTGTTTTTCAGTTCTATCTCCCATATACACAATCTAGGGAGTAACTGGGCATAGGGTCGTATTATATGATCTGTATGTTATCAATCTGCATATTCAACAAATTCTGTCTGGAATAAAAACGGACAGCTTGGCTAATCATTAATGCATGCCTGAGCTGGTAAGTAAATTTGAAGAAAAGCTTTCTGACAGATTGTATGCATTTATCTCCAGTAATAAGATAAACAATTTCTTGATTGTAGGGATCCTGGTTGGGACATCAGAGCAAGTTTGGAGGAATGAGAGGTCTTAATTAGCCTATCAGTTGTCCAGGGTTATGTGTACTTATGAACTCCGCTGTGACCAAAAAAAGGAGAAATAAAACACAAAGAGAAAACTGATATTTAAAAAAACTGTAGGTAGAATTGACCTCTGGAAGTGAAAAAACCAGCACCAATATAAACTTTTGTACCTGGACTACCTTATCTGAAGTACTGCTCTGAGGAAAAAGAGTCACCTGTCAAGAATGGACCACTCGGCATTGATATTGGGAACCTTGATTCCAACGGCTGCTGCTGAGCCACAGGGAAATCTCACTGCTGAACTTTACATGGCAGGAGGTGGCGAAAACCAGTTTCCATCCCATGACTTGAGCTACCAGGACAAGCAGCAATGCTTTAATTATGCCAATGGCTCTTTTAAGGATGATGAGCGACTTGAGCAGATACAGTTTGTGATGTTTGGAATAATCTTGCACATCATTTGCATATTTGGAGTTGTTGGCAACCTTGTTTCGTTCTTTGTCCTCAGCAGAAAAGAAATGCGCTCCTCTTCCTCCTGCTATCTTATGGCTTTAATGATATTCAATACAGTTGTCCTACTGACTGCATATTCCAATGATGTTATGACAGGTATTGGAGTGGGAAGCATGTATGGCGCTGTTTCCAACTATATCCTGACATTTGGTTCAGCTGTTGGTCAGTGGTGTTCCGACTGCAGCACTTGGTTGACCATTGCCCTCACTGTAGAACGCTACATATTTGTCTGTCACACTTTTCAAGCTTCAACAATGTGTACCATGCGCCGAGCCATCATAGTTATTGTGTTTTTGTCTATTGGGATGTTTCTTTATGATATCCCATGGTTTCTGCGGCAAGAAGTGAGAAGTGTCACTTGTCCATTTAACGATGAGCCTATCACATACATTGTGATGCGTTCTGAAAAGCATCGCCCTTCAGATATGTACTATAATATACAGCTTTTGTATATTATGCCTGCCTTATTTCTCATTGTGCCCATATTTGTTTTGACAGCGTTCACAGTAATCTTGTTACTTGAGGTGCGAAAGTCAAATAAGCTACGCCAACAGATGTCTACCACACAGACTGCTGAGATCAATGTCACAGTTGTTCTCATCAGTGTTGTTGTGGTTTTTCTTATTTGCACCCTACCAAATTGTATTTTTGCCATTACTCGCACTGTTAAAAAAATTGAAAAAGCAGACGACCCATATTTCGACATTTACTTCACTTTCACTGGAAGAGTCTGTTTTATTGTAGCAAATGTGTTCTTTTATTCAAATTCAGCTCTAAATTTCTTGATTTTTTGTACAGTTGGTCAAAAATTTAGAAAAACATTCAAGCGTATATTTCTTCGACGCTGCAAGTTCTTGACAACGGAAGTGGTTCGTTACAGCAGTGTGAGTGTTGGCTCGAGAACTGGTTCAACCAGGGCAAGCTTTTATCAGACTGAGACAAACATATAGTCAGGTGACAAGTTCTATAGTTATTGGAAATGCAAGAGAGACTGATTTTTTAAATGAAAGTACTATCATTTCAATATTTATAAACATGATTTATAAGTTGCATTGATACTATCATTTTGATTTTGACAACATATATGACCTGATTCTTTTAGAGTTAAAAAGGGTCATTTGCCCATGAATTGATGTGTTTTAATCAGTTTATAAAAGTACAATTAATGAGATTTGATCTATATTCAGGTAGCAGAATATCTGTGGATTTTTTGTTTCAAGGCAACAGTTTCTGAACATGAAAAGGTTAAATTAACCAAAGCAGAGCAGGAAATGTAACTTTTGATGCTATTGATTTTGCAGCTCATGCAAAAATGGACAAAAAATTCAAATTTCTTTAAAACTAACATCAGTTGTGGTAAATCGATTTCCCAGGACGTCACAGTTGGTAGAATGATCCAACAAAAACGTCATATTACAGGAAAGACAAGGTACTAGAAACTAGATTACAGAATGGAGTTCAGGTTCTATTAAGATCTATATTTGTTACTGAATATAGCAGAATTCTAAATTTAAAGGTGCTTCAGAATTTTTTGTAACATGTTGATGGTGTTATCACCCATTTACTACGTTGTGGGTAATTTTTACGGTAATCGTTATTTCGATTAGAGCAAAATGCTTAATGTACTTTGTATACATGTAACATAATTTATACCACTGCTCAAGCAAGAAACAATGGGTCACACCATGACCTGTTCCAAGCAGAGTCGTGGCACACATGGTTGAGTATTGATTCCATTTCTAATTGGTTTTAAATCTGATAAAGCTCTCGTGCTGAAGCTTAGATTTATGTAAAATGGAGGAGTATCCAATTATTTCCACTATTTTACTTAAAACTTTGCGATCTTTATCTTTCATGTTATTGTCACTGCAGAAGTGGTCAAAATATCACAGCTGTTCATTAATGACATGTTTCAAATATGTATCACGAGGCACTTGTGCTTTTTTTTAATGTGCAAGTGACGTGAAATTGAATTTTAATTTAAATATTTATTAGGTAGGTCTGTATTTTACATGATTTGCCAGTGTAACGGTTGTATTTTAAGCTACTTTGGCTGAATGTACTTTTTATGTAAGACTATAGTAAAATAATTAAGTCTGATATTGTTTGATAAGTTGGTGTGGCAGTAGATTGTAATTTTTGTCGATCTATTTAGTTTCTATGTTTGCTTGTTTGAACTTTTCACCTAAAAAATAAATAGTTATGTTTATCATGATCCTACCTGTTTATTGTGATTCTCACAATAAGTAAATATATATATATATATATATATATATATATATATATATATATATA